TGCTCATGAATATGGGAATACTCGTTGACATGAAAACAAAAAGTTAATAAAACATCCTTTGAAAATACTCAAACAAAAGTTGAATTATTCATCGTGATCGTAACTATACATGCGTTGGTGAGTTTAAAGAAACGTGCACTATCGGCTTCCACCTTATTTTATTCGCTTATTTATTTTAACCTGCCTACACAAATCTCAAAGCTGAAGTGTGAAACTTGGGATATCTCGGCAAACAATGGTCTCCCACTTCTCCCACGATCAAATGAGTCATATGATGCTGGGAACATTCTGAAATCTACAACCTGAGGGATGAAAGAGCCACTGTGTGATATGACCAGCAATGGCCAGAGTGGGGCAGAAGGCCATCTGGGAAGAATTAATGTACCCATCGCATTGCTGGCCTTTACGTGTACGATCGCCTTAGCAATCAGAGAAATTGGTGGCACAGGCCAGTCGTTTTCACCGACTACATTTCTGTAAATGCATCTATGTTTTCTGAGTTGGGATCCCCAAATCGAGAATAGAGCGGCTGCTTGAAGCGCCCTCACAGAGGACGTTTGTTATTTAGATTAAAATTAATGATATAAGTACTAAAGGGTATACTCAGCATATCACACAGGAACATAGACCTGTCCTACATGTGAGGGCGCTCTATGCAGCCCCTTTATTGAACCTGTAGGGTCCACCACTACAAATAAATTCCCATAGGCAGCAGTGATAAATCCCCATATTCACAAATATTTTAGAAATACTCACAACTCTCACAGGTGTTCAGGCTGCACAGAAAAATGATGTTCCCCGTGTCCCCTTTCATTTTCCTTTTCAATTTTCGGGGGGGGGGTCGAACCAATGAATTTTTGAGAAATTATCACCAGAATCAGACCACCCCTAAAATGAAGAAATGTCCGTGTCCAGAAAAGTAGCCATTTTGGAAAAACCATCCCTCTGCAAAATGGCTCAAATAGTGCCACTTTCGGACCCGATTGCATCCAAATTGCTTCGAATTGGAACCACTGAGTCCGGCCCAGAGGTTCAGTCTCATATTTCTTCAATTCCCCAGTTTCATGTCTCTCAGGACCCTCTAATATAGAATATTTTGAGTATAACTTTTATTAATGAGCTCGGCGGAAAGATTTCGGGCCTAATATACAAGGGTGCACCCTATACAGAGACGACTGGCTGTTCAGATGATTGGCGAATCTATCGACTGTGTGGGGTCCCCATCGATTATTAAAGGTCCTGCGATGGTGACCATTCAACGTAGGCCTATAATCAAAAATTCGACTGAGGGCATCTGCTTTGTCATTTTGTGATCATGGAATCCAGTCAGTTCTCAAGCCAATACCGTTTTCGAGACACTGATTATAGATCTTCTTGACCATTTCTTGCAGTTCTGGTTTACCACTGTCAACATCTGAAACTCTGGCTACATTCTGGCTGTCTGTAAAGCATTTTACATTGTTTCCTGCCAATAAGGTGATAAAGCTTTCTGGAGTCAATTGTACAGTTTTTATAGCTTTTTCTAAGTGCTCCTTTTTGTCATTCCTTTGCAATCCCGAGCTCCATGAGCAGCTGTCTTGTCAATGCCGATTACATAACCTACTCTGCCTAAATCGCTAGCATCTGGATACACAACCTCGTGAAATCTTTGATCTAATGTCATTGGGATTGGTTTCGAATTCAATACGTTTTCTTTCAAAAGTTCAGTTCTAATTTGGATTGTTGCGACAGGAGAATTTCCACATACCAAGATGGTGCAGGCTGGCCTGTCAATAATGATCTCGTCCTTATCCGGGTAGGCTTACCTAACGCATGTGTCATGGCTACGATTTGGCTTACCATATGCATAGCAAGGTATGAGACGGAGAGAACCCCCCCTGCTTTGTGTTGGTCATTGTCTCGCAGGAATCTGGGGAATTCCTTTCAGATATCTTGGGGGGATGTGTTAAGTAACAATAGTCTGGAATGTGTATAGGGATTGGACATGTTGGGGGGGTGCCCCTCGGTCTCATTTTTGCTGGGTATATGGCCTACTATGCCGGCATGTGATCTGACATGCACCTTACTGAATTAACTGTGAGATTGGATGTTTCAGTAATGCGTTTCACCTTTCCAAGAGGACTGATGAGGCCATTTTCTGTACCTAACTGAAAGCCTAACCACTGACACGAAAGTGTTGGTTCCCACTGAAATTTCTGTTAATTGTAAACAAACCCAGCATCAGTTAAATCATTGAGTTTTACTTTTGATTGTGTCTCTCAGGCTGCTGACGAGGATGGGGCCATGCCCGATCCCAAGATAGACAATAATTTCTTTGCCCTCAGCCCTCCACTTCTTGACTAGACATCGCATAATCTGGGTGGAAATGCATGGAGCAGACGTTAGACCGAAGGGCAGCACTAAAAACTTGCAAAATTGGTTATCCCAAGAAAAACCTAAATATTGTGGGTGATCAGGAAAATTTCCACATGCTGGTAGCCACTCCTCAGGTATTTCCCCTTGTCTAAGTAATTGTTGGCTATTTTGGGGTCTTCGTACTTCACTGATTATCTCCATTCGTGAAGATTCACCTTTCGCAAGTCCAAAACCTGCCTCTTTTTCCCACTTACCTTGACCGAGCAAGACCAAAAGAGTGCTAACAACTGTGGGTTTGTCAGCGCACTTTTCGATTCTGCCTTCTGATACTAACTGTTGAATTGTCTCTGTTACAAATTGGCAATGATTGCCAGCGGAACGATAATTTGTTCTTGAACTAACTGACCGCTGTCACCTTCTTTGAAGTCGAAGGAATCTTCTATGAGAAAATGCGGAAGGCACTTATCACCAAAAGCGTTGGTCTTTCCCCGGCGACCCGCTCTCCTCAGTTACTGGAATGTTAGTTTCTGGCATCTCTCGCTGATGTGATGCTTGACGTCGAAGGTAGGCCTACAGTGGATCTGCCAGGATGAGTGAAGGGGCACTCCTTTCTCCAGTGTCCGCTTGAACCGCATAAGAAGCAAGCTTCTGGTCTACCTGCATGCTTGAGTCCTGGCATGTATCTGTTTTACCGGTGTAAGGGTTCGTAGTATATAGGGACAAAACCGACTGCTGCCGCGGTTTCTGTTCTTAACTTGATTTTCTTAATTTAACTGCTCTTGATTCGGCATGGTTTATTCTCTTTTCGTCTTCCAAATCGAAAACCAGGTCATTGACCTCATATTCTGTTACCGTCTGCCAACCCCCTTCGCAGGAGTCTGCCATGCGGATATTGGTTTTGACAGGCACCGACATTTTGCGTGTTGCTGAAGATGTGTTCTATCCAATGAGGCGGTCTCAGCTGTTTCCCGGTCTCAGCGGTCCCCCCCCCCCGACTTTCCCGTTGTTGCGGACAGAGATGGCATGACGTATTTTACCATATTTGGTAAGAAGGACGGCTGAGACCGGGAGACGGTTCGTGACTTCGTCACAAAGGCGTATATTTTAAGTATATTTTCAATATCAACAGACGTACTCCGTTTTGTTTCGACATTAATCCAAATAAAGGAATTCCACATAAGTCCTCAGTTTTATAAGGTTACGTAACTTTTATGTTTATATTCAGTTGACACTGGAATCTTCCCGTTGGTATTTTGGAAGAAATATTTTTACAAAATTGGTGTCAAAATGATCAGAAGACATCACCAGGGGACGCCTGAAGACCTCGACTTGTGAAAAGAAGTACACTACGACATGGGGGGTGCGCGCCTTGTGTTGGGCATACCTACTGCCTATCATTGACGTCTCGCGCGTACATGAACTTTCACACATCCTGAAAAAGTCCTGAAATCAGGAAAAAGTCTGATAAAGAATCCTTAAATCAGATAAAATCCTGACAAATTTCAACAGTTATTAGTTTATTACCATACACTTGTAAAACACCGCTCATCAAAGAAAAGAAAGTTTAATCCAGGAATAGGTTTAAAAAAATTCCAGACTTATTGTGCATAAAACAAACATGGAAGTTTTCTTCCCAGGGTGACATCACAGTTTTGCTCAAGAATATGAAAATGTGTTGTAAACATTAGTATGAAACCAAACTGTTATCAATATACCCTTTAAAATAGTAAATCAAAATCTGGCGTGAGATGTAACGAGAAACAGGGATGCATTTTCAGTTGTTATATTAAAAGTTGCATTAGACCCTATAAAAAAATAAGTGCAATTCAATCAAAAATTGCAAAATAAAAAATGACGTTTTCTGCACTTAACGCGGTTCCAAGTTCACAGCTGTGCTAGCGCCCATAGAGCCTTGACCTTGATGTTCGACTCAGTGTTGTACTCACTAAACACTATTGGACAAATCCATTTACTCAACATTCACTAAGAGGTCTTACTTCAAAAACTGTGATTGAAAATATTGCTCACATAACAATGAACACTATTGGTGGAATGAATATCAATAATTGATCGATGACATTATAGAAATTGTTTGGATGAGAGAGACACACAATAATACTAACTGTTGTCCCTACGTCGCAAATTCAAACATGAAACAACGTGACAAAGTGATAAATCCTCCTGTCTCTTCCGTGTGCGTCTTGGATAAGTTGCAGTCAAGTTGGAACTTGACGGAGCCTTTTTGGTTGGTTCGGAGCCACATTTTGTCCTCATCGATCGCTGCTGAATGACACTGGATTCGAAACGTGCTTTGGGCAAATCGGCGACCACCGGAAAGGCTTGAAATCTGCCCTCGCTGTGTTGTCGAACTCTGTCCACGCACAGTTCAGTGTTTTGTCGCGAGGAAATTTGAAGAATACCACGTCTGGGTTTTTGTGTGAATTCCTTACACAACCTCCAACAACATCACAACGGGGTATAATTTCATAATGATCACCTAGTTGAATTTCCTTGCAGCACCAGCCTGTCGACGACAGAGCACGATTACTGCACTGTATGTGTCTGCATTCAACGTGTGGAACACTGAGGGCGCTGTTTAGAAAATCCATCCACAGGCGGCGCGCGCTGCTGCTGTTATACATGCACTTGCTGTATACGCAGGGCCTAGGGCAGCTGGTATACATGTGCAGTACGTGTGGGTTAATCAGTGTGTTTGATTGCGAAAAATCATGTAGGGCCTATTGTTACGTAATGCGTTTGTCTGCACTGTGCCACGACTTACATGTATGGTCCTGTATAGGCTGTGAGAGAGTCCGAGGTTCGGCCAAATTGGAACAACTTCGTGAGTACATGCCCACCCCCCATGCCTTTACCATTACCAGGCATGCCAGGTGTACATAGTGAGTACTAATGAACAGTACGTTATGTACATTATGTACAATGCACAATGCAATGATGTAGGCGTTCATCACCATTACTAGCACCCTGTTCCTATAATAAGGAAAACGAAGTCCACTTTCTCAAACTAACTGGCATTCAGACCTTGAGAATTCACCTCTTAATCTTAGTAGCTCTAGTTTTTGGTAAATTTGGACAATATTTAAGCAGGAAAACCAGAATTATTTTAGGCCATTTTGTTTTACGTCTGGTATGGTTACCCGACCCAGCCATTGTGGATATACTGAATTTCAAACAAGAAACTTTTATGGTTCCCGGTCAAGGAACCAGAATACATGATGTGAGGATTCGTCTTCGTTCACAGCTCTTTGTCACGTCATTTTATGCAGCCGTTTTACCCCATAATTTCCCTCAAAAGCCCTTCCCTCTTTTCTTCCTGATTTGAAAGAGGATATCACTACCAACCTAAGAAAATGTAGACCTTGTTTATAGTAAATAGGAGCAGGGTGCTAATGGTAACAAACGCCAGGGGCTAGACATGCTCAGGCATAATCTGATCTGACCCCATTATGCCCAATGTGTAGTTTTTATTCTTCCATGCCTTGAGTAACCCCGGCCCAAATTTGCTCTTGCCATCAAAAATTTTTGATTCTGTGCATTGTTTACTTCAGTGACTTATTTGAACTTTAATCATGGAGGTAGATCAACGGGTGGCATGGCTGGGTCAGTGCTAGCCCCAGACAGGGGGGCCAGTCTACTGGACTCCCTCCGTATCCCAGTAGACTGGCCCCCCTGTCTGGGGCTAGGTCAGTACAATTTACAGGCATGACAGGATTGTTCCATGTTCCTTCCTCCATGATTGTTCTAACAATCCCCACGACCCCCGTGGCCCCCTCAACCCACTACCCCCTCGACCCCACGACACCTTTTGACTGACAATTTCACTTGTGCCCATGTTATACTTGCTGCTGATCACGAATGGGATCATGTTCGAAAACGGGACTCTTCCCACAGGTACTTGCGCATTTAGCCCGCGACCAGAGCTATACTAGCACAGTTTGTTTCCAGGGTGTCGAGCAGTACGCGCATTGCTGTTATGTACACGTACATGTATGTTACAACTTCCACAAAAGTAAGGATGCCTGAATAAATAGAAACAAATTGTTGAAATGTCGTCCTCATTTATTAGGAAC